GAAGTGTACATAAGTATCATTGGAAAACGCTCGCCTTTACAATCACTGATGGATAAGGGATCTATTGAATTTCTAGGCAAAAGTTTGTGGAAACTGTCTATGACATATTTCTAAAGCAATGAACATTCACTTTTTACGTTCCTTCTGATCAAAGGTCGCAGTTCTTATTATTATGATTCTGTAAGTCAATCAGCCTCCTAAGAGTCTGTCATATTAGTTGGATAGCTCATTATCTAATAAACGATGAATAAAGGAGACGATTTCACACTTAGAATGTTCGCTCATGACATAAGCTTTGATGAATAATTCCATCTACGAGTTTTCTGTATTTGTAGTTATATTAAATCAACGATTGAAAAAGGTATCAGATATTAAATAGCCAACTAGTAAATGGTGATTCAATGTTGATTCTACCTGAATAACTGGCCAGCGATGAAAATGAGAGTCCAAACCATACATTTTTATTTATCAGTCAACTGTTATGTGCTACGAATGAACCAGATCATTTGACTTTAACCGATAAACATGAACACGTTAATGTCAAATCTTAAACTGACTTACAAAGGACCGTATAAAATTTGTTCTGGCTAGCGTTTTTTGGCAAGTTAGTTTTTAGTTGGGATGGGGGCGCTAACCCCTCCTCCTTTATCCGGGCTTGAGACCGGCAGTAGCCCCGAAGGAACTACAGGCGGAGTTACCCTATAAGATACCTGTGCATAATAGTGAATATTGAAAATAACGAGAAGTAAAACAAATTTCATTGATGACAGTGAAACCGGATTTAATTGATAACAAATAAAAAGAGGATAGCTTGAATATAGATAAGAACACGCCGTATACATGACAATATTCCTTAGAAAAGATGGAAAGCACAGGTGGGTAGTTTTAATATGTTTGATAAATAACTTAAAGTAAATTAATGAATAATAAAGGACGATGATAACGTTATATCGAAATTTCAACATATTTATTCTGAAAGTGACGAACAGCTGATGAGTACGAATCCTTCGAAAGCCATCGAATCACCGAAATGCGAGTTACAACCATCAGCGACATTAACGTACAAAACTGAAGAAAGTCCACGAACGCAGGGTCAGGTGGCCAGAAAGATATATAGCTACGATTTTGAATTGATAACTTCAAATATAATTTTTTTTTTCGCCTCGCATTTGTACGTCGAAAATTTTCGTGTATTTTTTTGTTATTATTCAAGCTCACAAACACACACGAACTCAAACTTATGCAAACAAGATAACCTTGTTTTTAGCAAAATTTTGATATTTTCGAATGATTTTTTTCTCACAAACACAGACACTTTTGTATCCTTGTTTGCTGGGAGGGAGCTATTGTAGCACCTCACATATAGCTTGTACTTTTATCATTGTTGAGCTTGTATGCGCATGTACGCTTGGGCATTACTTGCCACCTACACATATAGTTATTTGACTAGCTGTATCGATTAACAGCTTGAATAATTCGATGTCAATATCTACTATACATATTTGAATTGAATCCGATATTTGTATCGATCATTAAATAATTTGAATAATAAAGAAATTGTGGCAACGACTCGTGTTCTCTCGTAACGATCATCAAGACGGAGATATACGGGAAATCGAAGATAACGAAAGTCTAACGCCACAGCTTGTCTAAGGGCCAGGATAGCTAAGACCCATTCCTTTCATAGATTTATGATTATTGTATTCGATTATGTCACATAATCAATTTTTCAGTTCAGATTGTGAATCGATTTTAAATTTACTTGTTCATTTATTAGGGTGAAATGGCATCGAGCGAATTTTTCAATACACATAATCAACTGCATTTATTTAATACAGTTGGATTAAATTTGGAACAGTGAACTACTAGATATCTACTCAGTTGCTTGAAGGTTAAGGAAGCACTTTCAGACTTACCTATAAATGTTCCCTTTACGATTTGTGATTAAGGATTTTGAAGGAATCTTAGAGTAAGTCACTCAGTCAGTCAGATGCAACGTAGAACTTCTTACGTAAGTACATCAGTTCATGTTGCCATACCACATCAGCACAGAGGTGTAATTTTCAATTCAAATCCAATAGTGGAATAGGTAGTAAAGGTATTGGAAGTAATCGAAGAGGTTAGGATTAGAAGATATTATACAAGAAGTATGATTCAGTGAGATAAGTTTAGAAAGTCAAAACTAGAGGTGTTGAAGAATCCAGAAGATCAGGATTTGAGAGAACACAAAGAATTAATGCACCGACGCCATTGCGAACGATTTTGAGCCATGTCATTCAAGGTCTCTGACCATCGATTATTATCATCTCGCGGACCCTAACCAGGTAGTCGACAATTACCGACATGGCTAAGTCCACTAGTCAATGACTTCATGGATTTCTGCCATGTTTTGTTCTGGCCGCCCCTAGCTCTCTTCCAACCTATTCCTACACTACAAAACAAAGCTCGTCGAGGCAGTCGGTGGTTAGGCATACGCAAGACATGTCCCAACCACCTCAACTGATGAAGTTTCACCACTTCATCTATTGATCTGCCATCCTTATTTAGTACTCGTTTCCTAACGACAGCATTGCTTACTCGGCTGTCCCACGATACACGAGCAATGCTTCGAAGACACCTATGATCAATCTTAGAGTAGGAAAAAACAACCATTCAGTTTGGGTTTGTCATTGATGCAAACTATAATATTCAGTAATCTATACAAATTCCAATCACTATTAATCAGAATCTCTTGTACAGATTAATGATATTATATATCTGAAACATTGATAATTAAGAAAATGTGATCTCTACTATAGAAATCAAGCCACTGACGTAAAATCAGTAAGTGCAAACAATCTTCAAGATTTACTGAATAAATTTATCGACTACATTCAAGAATAAAAATTAATCGAATTCTACCATGTTTCGAATGAGTTCATTTTTGGCTTATTCCTTTCCTCAATGTTTAATAACAAACAATAAATTCTACTAATTTTGACAATCAGTAGTATCAGACGCATATTCAATAAATGATTGAAAATCAGTTTTTTTGTCCAGGACGTCATTGGAAATTTTTCATAATGTACATGTAAAGAATGAATAAATAATTCAACAATTCATTTTTACTTTTACTCATTTGTCTAATTTTAAATGAGAATAATAGCAGAGACATAAACTCTACCTATTAAACAGTTTATGTGTGTTATTAGATTTGACGTCATGCGCACTAATTCAGTGGCCAGTGAGCTGACTCCTTTATTTACGAACTATTAATTGTGTGATTGCGGTAATTAGAAGTCGAATATAGGTTCCGTTGGATGAGTTTATGTCATGAGAACAAAAGGCGTACAAGTCAAGCAAAGCGAAATAGATAAGATGAGTAAGCCAACTCCATATAATGAAGCATGAGTAGGCGTTCAGTCAGACAAAATAAGCCAAACATGTCATAAGTGAAGTAGGCGGTTCACACGTACACTCGAATAAAAGCAACCAAAACGAGAGTGAATAATTGGTAAGCTCGAGATGTGTGTGTGAGTATTTCGACAAGTATGCATTAATTATTTTTGTTCAAAGGCTGGGGCAAACGCTGTATGCTCGACTTAAAAGTACATGCACTACAAGTTTCTAACACACTGTTGTTTAATCTCTACTTGGATAAACGACAAAATACGTCTTGATTCTTTTGATTTGTGAAAGACAAATTTAGAATTGATTGATTTTGACAACAGTGACTTGTATTTTATTTTGTTGTGATTAATGTATTTGATGTTTTGGTTACTGGTGATGATTTGATGAATGCCTCAGTAAGACAGATGGTGTATTGTATAGTGTTTTGACACATGAATAGAGTTTTTAAGCAGTCGGTCTGAAGTATTGTTTCTGTGAAAATGAACTTAGTTTCACTGCTTTGACTTTGAGTTCAAATTAAGTTTCTACTTACTGGGATCAGCACTGATGATCAGTAAGTCGACATTAGGAGATCAAGCGGATCCAGTCGATGAATTTTGCAAAAGAACCAAATGCATGTCTTGGATTTCGCTATTCTTTTACATCATCCCTAAACTGGAAGTTCATTCTTTTGAAAAAGTTTAAATTTTTCTAATTTCCTAAAACATTTTCAATTTATTTCCAATCACATATACTGATACCGGCTCAGTGTTCTAACGGTTAGGGCGATCGCGCACAATACCGGAGGTCCTTAGTTCGAATCCTGCGGGGTGCAGGAGTCGTGGATGCGCACTGCTGAGAAGTCCCATGCCAGGACGAAACGGCCGTCCAGTACTTCCAGGTTTCTAATGGTGGTCTAATATTGATCGACTCATGGTTTCAAAAAATGTACACTGAAAGTGTCAACGTTTACCAGTTTTTCAGTTATTTTTATTAATAATTCTGTCTCATAGATCTTTAAAATATATATATATATATATTCATCTCAACAAGAGTTCCTTTCTCATAATTACAACTTTGTCTAATTCATTGTTTATCCGTCAGTTTTTTTTATTGTACAAAGTTCTACACACACAGTAAAAAAAAAAGAATGATAAAACTTCTTTGAAGATTATAATCCTTTGTAAAAATTAATCTTTCTCAATCATAAAAATTCTTTTTACATGTCGTATGTAAAAACAAAAAAAGAACAATTTTTTTTTAAAAAAATCTCAAAATACCCACTTAAACAAATTGTTATCTGAAAAAAAATTAAGTAGGATTACTCAAAATATGATTGGTGGTTCATTGTTGTTTTAGCCAAGTTTTAATTGACCAATAGAAAAATTAGGAAATCTATATACCATTTATTATAGTTTAAACAAAAAACACTAAACTTTGTGAGTACTAATCACATTGATACGCAGAAATGGTGAGAAAAAAAATAAATAAACTAACTGTATAAATTGTGCGAAAATAGTACAGAAGTCTTCATTCATTCATTCATTCGGTAATTTTCGTGTACTTGCTTAAAAATCCCTTAAAAAACGTATCGCATGAAATATACACACAATTAATACATTGATTCCTTAATGAATGCATCACATGTAAATAGTAATAGTAATCATATTCATCAACACCATCGTATCAGTAATAATAATACTAACCATACTAGTACAAATTATCCTAGTCATAATCCTATTGATAGTGGAACGAATAAACATTTATGCTGCATAGATTTCCCAACAAATCCTATTACAAAATATTTTATCATTGAAAAACAAGTAGCAAGTTGTGGACCAGAATTAGTTTGGAAAGTATACGATGCTATAAGACGTTCAGATCAGAAAGTAAGTAGTTTTAAAAAAATTTTCTGTGTTTTTTACCATCAGTAATAGGAATGTATTCTATTTTGTTGAACTAAAACTTTGTGTGTGTACTTGTAATTGACAAATCATGACAACATTTAATTACTAAGAGCACACTGACTAATGTTGATTCTTGACAATATGAACAACTGTTGTATACTGACGTAGTGATTTGAAGGTTACACGGTTGTCATGTAAACAAAACATCTTGGGTTTGATATGCAGCGGTAGAGTAGTGTATGCTTATTACGAGGATATTATTTTAAGTGTTAAATAAGGTTGTTTGAAGTTGGAGACTAATACTGTTGGATACTGGGCTCAGTGGTCTAGAGGTGAAGTGTCCACATGTCGTACAAAATGTTCTGAGCTCGAGCCCCGCTTGTCGGATGCTCATTGCTGGTGAGTCTTCTGCTAAGACGAGATGTTCGTCCAGTGCGTTCCAGTTCCTAATGGTAACGTAACAATTATCAGTCCACGATTTCAATGTTATTTGTGGTTATTTTTGATGGAATCGTTTGACCGGTTGTTGTATATATAAGATATAATCTATTAGAATAAATTATTTTTTGAAAAACGAGATTATTTATGCAATAAAAAATTCAACTTATTGTCCAGAGTTTCTCAATAATGTTTGATTTATACGAGATTTGCATGAATGGAACTTTTGTTTTGATTACAAAGCTCATTTTGACATAACTATCCGGATTGTCTTTTTATCAGGATCTCTTAGGCTTTATTTTACACAGAGTCATCAACGGTTTTTTTTACATAGAAAAAATAAATTCAAAAATTACCCAAAAAAACTTTCTCGTTGATGTTGTTATTGTTGTTGTTGATGAATATCGACATATTTTCCTATGAAAAAATCATTTCAATTCAAACAAATACAAAATTTCATATTGTTCAATGGTCAATTTTATTGTTATGACCGATGACAGCGTAGGTAGTAAGCAGTCTAATGAAAAATAAATGACTTCATTGATTGATGACGTTGATTTCATGAAGATAAACAGTTGAATGGACATTTTGACATTAATTGCAACTTCAGTTGTCAATATAGTATATAATTGTATAAATAGCAAGAACTATATAATGGACAAATGATTGAATAATTGATAAATTACATTGAATCGCTTGAGTTATTTATGAATACTAATCGTAAAATCTAAATTTATTGATAATATTTTATTCTAAGGATTTTGCGCTGTCTCATCGACTGTATTCAGTAGTTATTGCCTACACTTGAGAGGGGGAGGAAATTCTCGGAATTTCAATGAAAAGACATGATCAGTGTAGTTAAACTCTGTCGCGTGTAGGCAGTAATTATTGAAAACAATGGGTGAGGTTGCGTGAAATCTCCAGATTGAACAGAGTTATACATTAACATTGTTGGATGTTGTCAGTTTAATGATCCAGAGATTCGGCATTCACACTTACGACCAAAAGTCTCAGGTTGGATTCTTGCTGATGAGTCCCATACCAGGACGAAATGACTGTCTTTTGTTTTCAGGTTTCTAATTGTGGTTTAACAATGATTCATACATGATTTCATTGTATGTAAACCACAATCTCCATAATACTATGATACGTTTTGATTTGTTGAGACATTCAATTGCATTAAAAATTACTGATATATATATATATATATATATATATATATATATATATATATGCACGAAGAATATTCTTTCGAATAAATTCTTAACATATCTTAACTACGATAAATCAAAATTAGTGTTCATAGTGAAATATTCATGTTTACTGACTTAATGCTTTAAAAATAGAATGAATATTGAGCCGGGATAATTTGTAAGAAGAATATGAGCCATTTTATGTAGCTGTATTATTCAGTTATCTGGAACATGAAATTAAACACACACACAAGTTAAATTATTGTAAAAGGTGAATATTCGTAGGTCGTTCATTAGTCAGTTAATCTAATTAAAATAAATTTATTACGGTTACTTATTACTCACTCATTCAATTGATTAATTGAATTATGCTACTGTTCAAATTGAGAGCAAAGTTATCCAAAAAGTTTTCAGTATTCATTAAATACTCTGTAGCTAACATATTTCTCCATGTTATTGTTGATTTAGTAAATGAGTGATTTTCAATAGAGATTTCATTTCAACCTCTTATTCAACTACCTAAATCTGTAACCCCATGTCCAGAAAAGACCGCCAACTAAGATTCAACAGTCAACTTTATCTTTGGCTCTCCTTTCCATTTGATATGAGCACCTGATTTCCGGCTCAATTACTTTTTTAGTCTTTCTCTTCCCCTTGTGCACTGAGGATAGCAAGTTAAAGCTTGTCTTGTGACGAAGTTAGGTGATTTCCACGATGCGTGTCTCATCCACCTTCAATGCCTTTCTTTTATTTTCTTCATCAGCCGAAAGCTAGTTCGTTCTCTACCACAGTAGGTTGGTGATGATGATGTCTAGCCAAATGAGCTAAAGTATTGTGCATATACAACTGTTTATAAATACCTTTTATAATGACGGTTGTAGTTGGTGTCCAAATTTACATTCAATATAATAGGACTGTTTTGACGATTTTGTTTAAAATTCTAACTTCGTTGTCGGCCAACAGACAGTTGTTTTGAGTTGTAGATGTTCCCTGATTGAAAGATGCAACCTTTGTACTTCCAATCCGTGTCTGCACATTTACATCAGATTTATTTTTTTTATCGATGATAGTGTCCAGGTATTTAATGACTTAAACATTTTCCAGCGCTTCTCCGTCATGTGTGATTTACGTTCGTGCATGTTATGTTATATTTAAGGATCTTTCTTTTTTGATTGTTGAAACCCATTGCTGATGAGTCCTTTCGCCACACCATTCGTCTTCTCTAGCATTTGTTGTTGTATTTAGGGTAAGATCAGCTTCGAAGTCCAGATCGTCCAGTCGTATCCAAACTGTTCACTGTATCCACGAAAACAATTAAGTTTGTTTATTATCTGGAAAGTTAACTGTTGATAAAGACATATTATGCATGATTTAGTGTTTCTTATTTTATTTAGCTAAGCAAGTTCTACTATTGCGATAGAGATATAATTTGGAGATGTTCTGTATGAAATGACAACAAATGAAACATCACTGATAATTTCAAGGATCTAGATTACCAGTTTGTCTTAGTAATAGGACAGAGCAGAATATTTTCTGGTTAAGAGATAGGCACCGTAACTACGTAACTGCTAATTTACTTCATACATCCACTCTTGAGACAACTGGTGAAAATTCATAGGATATAAGTGCAGGAAGAGTTCTAGACGCTGTATTCTCATGAGGTGGTATTAACCAGATCACCGATACAAATATTCATTTCATTCTGGTAAGAAACGCAACGTCTTAGCTTATAAAAGAACTCAGGACTATTGAAAATCCACTAATCCTTTTACGTTAATATTATTCATGTGCCTAAAAGTCCTGAAGTTCTAGAGAGAAGCTGTAACGACTGGTTTTCAACCATACCTTATTGTGTCACAGTCATCATTTGCAGGAACTTGATGAGGCTTGCACGATATCGTGAACTGATATAAAGTTAGACACGCGCATCTTTGAATGTTGGCTCACTGGTCTAGTAATCAATCGTCCAAACTGCTGAGGAATCTCATACAAGGACGAAACCGCTGTAAATTGTGATCTTTTGTTGCAAAATCAACAGGTTTTCTTATTTAGTTATTTAAAACCTATGCGACTAGACCTTAAGACAAAACGAAACTAGTATTGATCTAGTATGAGTATCGATTAACTCGACTAAAGTGTCTCCCTAGTACCAAAATTATCATTCTTCAAATCCTGATCACATCTTGACAGAATAAAGAAAATTATCCTACAAGCATGATCATATCACAAATGGAAGGGAATAAAATGACAGACACATTGATATATTATCAGTAATTTAAATAAAAGACATAACAGTTGTTATTGTACCAAACATGTTGAAGAGTACATGAAGACATATACAAAAAATAAGAACAATCGAATATGTCTGAGAGTTTTATGTATACGATGAAATAAACTGATGAGGAAAAGTTATCGATCATTACAGTAAATGAATGAAAGAAGAGTTTAACTAGGTAATTCTTCCTATTTAGACAAATGTTACGAACATTTATAATGAAATGACTCAATATGTTACCATCCAATCAGTGTTCTAGTTTTTATATTAGTTTGCATAAATATTTAATAATAATAATAATAATAATAATAATAGTAATAATCAATACTAAAGGAGCAAGTGATGTATTAGACAGTAATTAATATTGTACATCACATCCAAAAGAGTATTTATTTATTTAAGAAACAAAAAGTCAATTTCATGAATGATGGAATAGATAATGTGATTAATTTCTTTTTATTATTTTGAATATTGTATGGGTGGATTAGAATATGTAATTAGGTATGAAATGAATAAAATTCACCTAATTTAATGTAATACCATAAAATTGACAATTTGTATAACAGTTATATAAGTATAGATAGAAGTTTTTTTTCCAGTTAGGCAGTAATTTAAATGGAATAAAAGTTTTTAATAATAAAAGACGACTAATATAAACCCTTGAAGCAGTAGAAAGGTATTTTGTTTAGTGGAGGCACCGTCTGTTGTGGGCACTTAGAAAGTTAACTAACGTGACCAAAATCAAGACTTTCAATTTATGACGCTGATGATTAAGCCGTAAATCACTGAGCTAAGATCAGTGTGTGGTTCAAAGTATGCAAACTCACTAATTATCAGTCGTCATTTCAGTTTTTTCGATGGCCAAATTAAGTAATTTATAGTAAGATTTTTCTGATGACCAGTGTAGGATGGTTTTATGAAAACTCATACCTAGTAATGTTTACTTAAAATGCTCAATGCGTTGTCCGCTGAACCAATGAATCAAAATACCCACTGACTTGTTTAAAGAGTATGTTATCAGTTTAAACTCAAACTAATTATGATTTTCGAAAAAAATTAATTATTGGTTTTTAAGT